ACACACACACACACACACACACACACACACACACACACACACATTTATACCTGAATAAAATAATGAGAATTTTAAATGCTTCATCACTCACCATGGGCATTCTGCTGCTTCTGCTTGATTTCCTTGCAGCTTCTGGGCAATGAAGACAAAAAAAGACCAGTCTATTTCTCAAGATCAATATCGTCCTTAGCTAGAGAATAGACAGGGTTTTATTATCATTAGAAGATATTCAGCCTCCCTTGTCACTAATCCTAAACTCACTCCTCCACTGTGGCAGAGCCTTAGTGCTAAATTGAAAGCCCTGAGAATCCAGTATTCAATCCTATCTGACTCAAACTCTGGGCCTCATGTTCTCCTTTGGTTTTTTCTCTTAAGGCTGGCAAGGCTAATGCGCTAACATTTGAACCATATCTCCAGCTGTGGCTGGCTTTTTGAAGGTTAATTGGAGAGAAGTATCTTGGATTTGTCTGCCCAGGCTGGCTTTGAACCAGGGTCCTCAGATCTTAACCTCCTGAGGAGCTAGGATTACAGAAATAAGCTACCAGTGCCTGACAATAATTATAAAACGTTTGAACCCTTGCCAAGCAGGCACAAGGCTCAGGGTTTGATCTTCAACCTGGAAGAAAAAGACCATTGCTTTTGAAAAAGTGTTATTTTGAGTGGATTTAGATTCACCACAACAGTTGGAGGCCAGGCTCAAGTTGGTATAGCAATAGCCAGTCCATGTCAAATAATTCAAAATGTGCCTAAGGAAAAACAAACAATATGTGTATACACTGAGAGACACTCTTGTAGGAGAAAGTGCCTCCCTCCTGGAACACCTCACCCTGACCCAGCATAGCAAAGTCAGCTTTATTTTTTTTTAAAGAAACTTTTAGCCTTGTGCCAGTGGTTCACACCTGTAATTCTAGCTACTCAGGAAGCTGAGATCTGAGGATCACAGTTCAAAGCCAGCCTAGGCAGGAAAGTCCATGAGACTCCTATCTCCAATTAACTACCAGAAAACTAGAAGTGATGCTGTGGCTCAAGTGGTATAGCACTCGCCTTGAGCTGAAGAACTGAGGGACAGTGCCCAGGCCCAGAGTTCAAGCCCCACAACCGACCCCCCTCCAAAAAAAGAAACTTTAATGTAATAAAACACAAACACATATACCCTCTAATGTAATGAAACACAAACACATACACACGTGGAGAATTATTTGGTGTAAGTTTAATGAATTACCAAAAGGCAAATACCTGGGCTATTATCATCATGATCAAGAAACAAAAACTTGTCAGCAACCCAGGCATTTCCCATATGTTCCTTCCAGATTATAAGCCCTTCCCGTATAATCGTTGACCCAGTACAAGTAATCATTAGCCCAGTTCGAATGACAATCAGATCCATATCACATTTTCAAAAATTTAAGTTCATAAAGTATGTTGACATCCAGCAGTACCTTCACATATTCTTCAAAAATGTCTTCTGAAATGTTTTCTCTTGGCCTCAGTACAAAACTTTTAAATGTATTCAATTTTTTTTTATTTTTTTATTGTAAAGATACTATACAGAGGGTTACAGTTACATGAGTGAGGTAATGAGTACTCTTCCTCTTGAACATTGTTAGCCCCTCCATTGTTTTCCCCCTACCATCCCCTCCCTCCCTCCCTTCCCCGAGGTTCTTTTTTTTTTTTT